CAATTCTGACTCATAAAAAGGCCGATGCAGGCAATAGTTTGCCATCCATTCAAGTCGATTCATTCCGTGCCTTTCATTCGTTCAGTTACTTTCAGTTCCTTCAGTGTTCGAGTCGATTCTTTCGTGGCTTTCATTCATTTGGTTTAATTCATTCATTCAGTTCAATATTATCAGTGGAGTAAATTTCTATTGTGTGTCAAGTCAACAGTTATTTTTATTTGTCAGTGTATTCGAATTTCTTTTCAACCTATCCAACCGACTACGCTGATGTTTCCAGATCCAACCAAATAGCTGCCGCGGCTTGGACTTCCAAAACAGATAACATTTTCATACAATATTAATTAGTGTTCATTTTTGTTTTTCATTTATATAAAATTATATAGAATATATTTTAGTTTATTATTGATTACGGAGTAGTAAGAAGAATTTTATTTTTAATTTATATTTGTTTACCATTGGTTTTTGTTTTCTGAATACATTTAATTTTTTTTTTATTTTTCCTCGAAGTATAAAATACTTCGAAAGGGGTTGAGAAACCCCCAACATCAACATTTGGTCCTTCGAGCCGGATCCTAATTATTAGGATTAATTGGGTGTATACAGAAAACAAAAATATATAATGGCGCCTAAAATCGATATTGGTGCAGAAATTGCACGTTAACCGCCAAGAGAGAGATGTACTTTTCAATTGTGCAAGAAACGTACGATCTATCGCAACAGATTGATGTATCTTCAAATAAGACACAATTTCTTGAAAATTTATATATTACTGAAAATGCTCGTGAACAATTTATTCAATTGTGCGATGAAATAAACAAATTAAAATATTTAGATAATCCTAGTTTCATTCCGGAATATTCCGCAATAAAGGCCCTTGAAACGATGTATGCCAAAATAAAACACGCTGAGAAATTATTAGATAATGAAAATGCGCATAGTTCTTCAATTAAAGACATAGTACCCAAACAACATTTACCGTCCATTGAGTACCTAAATTCTCAGGAGATATTCAACAATGGCCATTATTTATGAAACATTCAATTCACTAATTCATGAAAATACCGAGTTAGATAATGTTTCAAAATTTCATTTTTTAAAAGGAGCGTTACAGGGTCCGGTTTTAAAAATATTCATTCTATACTACCGACCGCAAATAATTATCAAATTCTTTGGGAAGCGCTCATAAAAAAATACGAAAATAAACGGTACTTAGCCACCAATTATTTCAAACAACTATTGTCATTCAAAACCATTTCATCTGGACAAATAAATTCATTCCTTGAAAATTCGATACCGGGTGCAAGCGCTCTCCCAATTGAATATTCCCGACGCCTATGATTTCCTTATTACGTCACTGGCATTCTCGAAACTCGATCCGTTTTTACAAGAAAAATTCGAGCATTTTTATCAAGGTGAGTTTCCCAAATACCAAGACCTCCTGCATTTTCTTCAAAAGTCACAACAGGCAAAAAATCAAGTATATGGTATGACCAACAATTTCACTAATGACAAACCCAATTACAAAAACACTAAAATTAGCCGGTCATTTTTGTTAAAAGATAAATATGATAACAAATGCTTTGTGTGTCGGGAACAACACAGAGTGTTTACTTGTTCGAAATTTCTTTCATTGAGTATACCTGATAGGCGATCCCTTATTCAAAAATTAAACTTATGCGACAATTGTTTGGGTCATAAGATAACGACTACGGTCGATCGAATAAAACCTGTTTATTATGTAACGAACGACATCACTCGCTGTTGCATACTGGCAGCAATTTTGCGAGTACGGATCAAAATAATCTTTCTAATTCCAAATCAAGTAGTACGGTTTTATGCGCATTTAATCAAAACAAAATCGCACATCATATTACCATATTGCCGACAGCAGTAGTAAAAGTTACTACTAGAAAAGAAAACATTTTATTACGTACAATTATTGATTCGGGAAGCGATAGAAATTTTGTGACATTAACTTGGTGCAAAAAGGCTGATTTACAAATTCTTCCAATATCAACCCAAGTGATCGGGTTAGGCAATTCGTCACATAAAGTTATTGGATTAGTTAATTTCACTTTGAAATCTTTAATTGATTCTTATCAGTTATCGGTCTGTGCATACGTAGTACACGAGATAGTGGGAAAGCAACCACAAATTACCATTCCGATTTCATCCATCAAAACATTTCTGAATTATCCTTTAGCGGATCCTAACTTTCATACACCCCAGGAGGTCGACGGAATTTTGGGTTGCGATGTTTTCGGCGAAATTCTTGGCACTAATCAGGTTAAAAATGATAAAGGATTACCTGTGGCCCTAGAAACCCGGTTGGGTTATCTAATATTAGGTTCCATTCCTGATTTATATGAAAATACCGGCACTTCTACTAATTTATGTAATGTTTCAGATTCAGATTTCCATTTACAAATGAATAAATTCTTACAATTAGAAGACATTCCCGAAATAATCCTCTCTTCTAACGATGATTTATGCGAAAACCATTTTACTACAACTACTACGCGATCTCCAGATGGACGATATGTAGTAGCGCTGCCTTTTAAAAGTGAAGGCAGAAATTTATACAAATCATTTCATTTAGCCTTAAAGCGATACCAAATGCTTGAAAATAAATTTTTGAAATATCCCGAATTTCATAAAAAATATGCCGCCGTTATAGAAGATTACCTGACTCAAAACCAATTATCCTTTGTCGATTATTGTCCGGTAGATCAGGAAGTCGATGATTTTATTAAAATAAAAAATGGATATTATATTCATCATTTCGCAGTCGAAAAAGAAGTTCCTCTACGCCTTTACGCGTTGTGTTTGATGCATCTGCGAAAAATTCAGAATTCACTTCCTTGAACGAAATTTTGCATGTTGGTCCTAAATTACAAACCGACATTTGTTCAATCCTTCTAAATTTTCGTTTCGGGCCTATAGCATTAACAGCTGATATCAAACAAATGTATCGTAATATTTGGGTTCGTAAACAAGATAGAAAATATCAAAAAATCTTATGGAGACCGTTTCCCGATGCACCCATTGGCATCTATGAATTAAATATGTAACTTTTGGTCTATCGTCATCTCCCTTTCAAGCTATCAGAACCATCAAACAACTTCCCGAGACGAATGTTCCAAATATTCTCAATCTATTTCTAGAATTCTTGAGAACGATGTCTATATTGATGATGTGGTTACAAGTATCGACTCCTTGGATAGCGCTAAAACCATTTGCGAGGGTTTGCAGACTGTATTATCGTCTGGTGGTTTTGAATTAAAAAAGTGGAATCTAATAATTCTAATCTGCGTAAACTTTTTCCTGATTCTGATGTACAAAATAAACATTTCTCTAAATCGGATTTTCAAATGGAATCTTCTACAAAGGTATTGGGATTAAAATGGGATCCCTTATCAGATAATTTTTCATTCGAAATAAAGCTTACGTGGAGAAAATGGACAAAGAGACAACTTCTTTCAGTAATAGCGCGAATCTGGGATCCTCTGGGTTTCCTAACTCCGATAGTTGTTAAGATAAAAATATTATTGAAAAAAATTTGGACATTAAAAATCGATTGGGATGAGGAATTACCATCATTTATTATTACATCATGGTTAGCCGTATATTCCGAATTAGAGCATCTTAATAACTATCAGATTCCGCGTTATCTCGAAACATCAAAACAAAACAAATGTACATTATTTGGTTTCGCGGATAGCTCAGAGCAAGCGTATGGAGCGGTAGTTTATATTAAATCTCTTGGCAATCCGAATTTCTTGTTGATTTCAAAATCACGTGTAACACCGATTAAAAACCAAACATTAGCCAGGCTTGAACTTTGTGCTTGTCATTTACTGTCAAAACTTCTGAATTTTATATTAACGAATAACCAACATAGTATAGATTTTGATTCCATTTACTGTTTTTCCGATTCTATGATTGTCCTTCACTGGTTAGCAGGACCGGCTACTCGTTGGAAAACATTTGTAGCCAATAGGGTAACAAAAATACGGGATCTCATTCCTAATGCACAATGGCTTCACATTCCTTCTAATCAAAATGCAGCCGATTGTGTTTCCCGAGGTCTTCGACCTAAGGATTTATCCAACATAAGAATTGGTTGTTTGGGCCGGATTGGTTGAATGGTCCTATATCAACTTGGCCTGCAAAAACGGTTGAACCTTCCGGAGATATTGATCAAGAAAGAAAAGCTAACGTTCTAATAGTAAAGAGTGTCATACCACCGATCAATCCTTTATATGAATTAACGCAAAAATTTTCTAATTGGTGCAAACTTGTAAGAATTTTCGCTTATATATTGAAGTTTTGTAAAATTATAACAAATCGAAACCGACTTTTGACTTCAGATTTGAAACAAGCCGAGGTAATTATTATTCGTTTAGTCCAAGAACATCATTTTCCCGAAGAATTCAAACTATTAACGAACGGAAAGTCTTGTTCGAAAAAGTTTTGCCGACTAAATTTGGTTTTGGATTCTAATAATTGTTTACGCGTTAAAGGTAGATTAGGATTAACAACTAATAACAATCCACTTCTTTTGCCAAAAAAAGACCAAGTAGTAAATTGTCTCATAGATTACTACCATATTAATAATTTACATACTGGATCAAACTTAGTATTATCTTTATTGAGGCAAAAATATTGGATCTTGTCGGCTCGTGCAATAATTCGCAATCGTCTTAACAAGTGTATAACTTGTTTTCGACAGAATCCGAAACCCATTTTTCCATTCATGGGCGACTTACCAGTACCGCGCATAACAGCCAGTAGAGCTTTCCTAAACGTCGGCGTTGATTATGCAGGCCCCTTCAATATCTCCATGAGTCGTCACAGAGGCGCTCGAACCTACAAGGCTTATATATGCTTGTTCATCTGTTTAGCCACTAAGGCGATACATCTCGAATTAGCTTCAGATTTAACAAGCGATACATTTTTAGATTGCTTGAAACGATTCCTAGCCCGGCGTGGTCCTATCAAATGTATTTACTCCGATTGTGGAACCAATTTTATAGGAGCCAAAAATACTCTTGATTCCTTATTCCTTCTCCTAAATTCCGAAGAGTATAAAAAGCGTTTCAATGAATTATTGGTTTTACATGACATTGAATGGAAATTTAATCCACCGTTTGCCCCACATTTTGGAGGTATATGGGAGGCGAATATTAAATCAGTGAAGACCCATTTGTTTAAAGTTATAGGGTTGCAAATTTTATCCTACGAAGAGTTTAATACAGTCCTCAATCAAATCGAAGCCTTACTGAATTCAAGACCGTTATGTTGGCTGAGCAATGATCCATCGGATCCTCAACCTCTTACGCCTGCGCACTTCTTAATGCAAGAGCCTCTGTCGGATTTGCCCGTTGACTATGAAAACTTGAATTTGACTAAAAGAAAACAATTGCTAGATCATATTGTCGCTTCTTACTGGAAGCGATGGAATGTGGAATATCTGACCGAGCTACAGGTCCGACAGAAATGGAATACAGTCACTAATCCTATTAAAAAGGGTGATTTGGTAGTTGTAAAACAAGAGAATGCGCGTCCGCTCCATTGGGGGTTGGGAAGAGTTGAAGAGGTTTTTCCGGGCTCCGATGGAGTGGTTCGAGTAGCATTGGTAAAAACGGGAAATACCCTAATCAAGCGGCCTGTTGTCAAACTATGCCCCCTACCTATTCAATAGTTTATATCTGAATTATTCATTTCAAAAAAAAAAAAACTTTTCTATCTCATGATATATTTGCTTCTATATATAGTTTTGCCAAATTTTCAATCTTCAGGGCGATGAGAACACCCCTCATAGTCTCTGGAAGATTCTTGTAAATGTCCAAAAAATCTAGACCCTGGCGCGAAAATAAAACTTCCGCAATCTAGATCGTGTGAATGTGGTAGGTCGTGAGAGGGGGACCCTGGCGCGAGGTCAGGCTTCCGTAACCGATCTACTCTGAATGAAAGTTTGAATTTATTTTTGGCAATTCTATCCTTCCTAATCATGAGGTTCACTATGTACCAATTTCGAGTATTTTCAGAAGTATAAAAGGCTAACCTTTTAGTCGGGGGAAAATGTTTGCGCCGCATCTGTCTAGGTTGTCGGACCTGTAAAAGGTTTGTTTTTCTACTTGGACAACACGTTTCAAATTGAGGCAATCGGCCAATTCTGACTCATAAAAAGGCCGATGCAGGCAATAGTTTTGCCATCCATTCAAGTCGATTCATTCCGTGCCTTTCATTCGTTCAGTTACTTTCAGTTCCTTTCAGTGTTCGAGTCGATTTATTCCGTGGCTTTCATTCATTTTGGTTTAATTCATTCATTCAGTTCAATATTATCAGTGGATTAAATTTCTATTGTGTGTCAAGTCAACAGTTATTTTTATTTGTCAGTGTATTCGAATTTCTTTTCAACCTATCCAACCGACTACGCTGATGTTTCCAGATCCAACCAAATAGCTGCCGCGGCTTGGACTTCCAAAACAGATAACATTTTTCATACAATATTAATTAGTGTTCATTTTTGTTTTTCATTTATATAAAATTTATATAGAATATATTTTAGTTTATTATTGATTACGGAGTAAGAAGAATTTTATTTTTAATTTATATTTGTTTACCATTGGTTTTTGTTTTCTGAATACATTTAATTTTTTTTTTTATTTTTCCTCGAAGTATAAAATACTTCGAAAGGGGTTGAGAAACCCCCAACATCAACAGCATTTATTTAAAATTGATCTTCATGATCAATTTATTGCCAGATGTTTATTTAAAAAATGTTTATTTCACGTATGTACATTGAGTGCAACCCAGAGTTCTGGTGAAGTTATGACCATTTTTCGGTTATTGTGGTTAACTTTTATTAATTTGCTATAGGTTGCTCTTAAAACATAATATCATAATTTCCAGAGTGAGATTTTTTTCATAATTTTTTTCTTCCTACCTTACATATACAGTATTGACCTAGCAAACCTTAACTAGGAAAGCCAAGGTCAATACTATAACCCTGTTTTAGCTTGACGTCAATATGTTGTCCTGTACTAAGTAAATAATTCATAATAAGTTTGATACAAATAATTAAAATAAAATTTGAAATGCATTTTAAATTTTCTGTGAAAAAATAAATAAAAGTAATGTTGATTGTCAAATTATCTTGTGAAAACTTCCAATAAGATTAGTACCATGTACTTGAAACCACAAATTCACATTATCAATATTTATGTAAACTTCAATCTTAAATTTTTAATGCATTTTGGTAATGTGTTTGGAAAGTTTTACAAAGTCCTTGATGCTGTGGTTAAGTAATTATTTTACAAAGCAAACATATATAAACTTCAGATAACTATAATCATGTAGTAAACTTAGAATTGTGGGAAAAGATTTTCTATACTTAATGCATGTTATATACTAATAGATATCTTGCATGCAATAAAAAACCTATGAAAATTAGATAATGAATATATTTTATCGTAAAATATCAGAATGAAAATTATGATATCAAAATTAAAATAGCAGATCTAAAGTAATAAACTGCATGGTTATAAATTCTACTTTTATTGTCAAAAATAAACATAATTTCATCGAGTTTATTATAAGTGTCTTTTGTGAGCAGTTATATGAAGCATATCACATGAATACTTTTGAATTATAATATTCGAGCAATATTATAAAATTTTAAATGATATTATTCGTAGAATACTATCAGAGAGAAAATATGTGAACGAGATCATACAAAGATATATATGTATACAAAGATTGTTTAAATATTTTGTTTATTTGACATATTAATTATTGAGCTATTACATTCTAAATATATACAAATATGGTAAATCTGACTATCCATATTAGTTTTTTATTAACAGTAATAAATGTTTATTACATTTTTGGCCCTAATATATTGTCTTTTATATTGTCTCTATATTCACTACTATGTCTCTACTAATTACTCTTTTGTTATTCTCTATAGGTACATCATAGAGCCATCGAATATTTCTCCAGATTTAAATGTGAAACCCATTTTTTCCTAAATTTTATTAGATTTAGTTATGGTATTATAGTTTAGAAACACTAATAAATATTCAAAATCATTTAGGGAGTTCAGCAACAGTAATATATAACAAATTCAATAAGTATATTATTCTCAAGGCGGAGGTCAGAGTTCGAAGTTATGCTATTTTCTTCCTATATGTTAAACGATATGTTCCGCAAAATGAATGCGGAAAAGTTTTCGGTCACCACCCTTCTACTTCGATATTTCCCTAGTATATAACAACTCTTTTCTGGGAATATATTCCACATTCTCGAAAGTTATATGTTTATTTTGAAGATAACTCTACATTTAAACAAAGTAAATGTCTGCACTTGTGATTTAAATCGCACGTTTTATATGGGACTCTATTCCGATAATTATGAGAATTTTTGGTGAATCATAGAAAAGGAAATTAGCAGAGCAATGATTCTGTTTTTCACATGATAATAAAGTATTTAATTGGTACATTGGTACATTTAAATCATTTTTAATTATTTGAATTTTTATTGAACTATCACAACCCCTTTTTTTTCAAATTTTTAAAAGCTTAAAAATGTTCAAAATATAGACTTTTTTGTGATTTTTTATTTGTTTTCAAAATGTTGAAAGCATCGAGTTTTTTAAAGAACAAAAAATTTGGACAAAATATTTAAATTTAAAAAAAAAATTTAAATTTTTGGAAAAAAATAGTTTAGAAAGTTTTATTTTTTTTTTAAATATCGTCATTTTAAAATTTTTTAAACCTAATCAAGTCGAGGACATTTGGTTGAACTAGTTAAGTGACCTTAAAACATAGCAAATCTTGGTACGGAACTCTAGAATTTGAAACAAAATTTGTACTTACTGATAAAATGTATATAAAAGATCTGATAATTGAATGTGTATTTTAGTTATTATTTCTGATCAATAGAAGATATATTTTTTAATATTTTTTAACCTGCCTCCACAAAAATTTTAACATATCCTCATTCCGCCAATCCAAGTGAAATGATTTGTAAGTCACTTAAATCAGACGTTATGTTTCATATAAATTTATTTAATAATGAGTTCAGTTTAATAATGAATTTCAAAATAGCGCTTATATAATTATAGGTGAGTTTTAAATAGACTAAATAGTTTATCTATGATGGATCATATTTTGTTCTCAAAACAAAAGTAATTTATACATTTACGTGTGCGCTTATGAGTGTGTTTGTATATATGATAACTATTTTCTACTGCATTATGCAGTGTTACGTAATACTTTTTCCATTTTCACAAGTTGCAACATAATATAACCAACTAGCCAATGCATTGTTATGCAAGTAACGAAAATGATGTTTAAATGTAACCTTGAGACGCCATCAAATCATTTCAATATAATCCCATATAGATATCTATTCGGTTTATGAGGTTATTCATTTATATTCCATATATTGATTGGCCTCTCTCATATGTAAAACATTACCGCTGTATGAACGACAGCAGGATGTATGCGGTTAAATAAAAAGCTTTTGATAGGAATCTCCTCGATTCTCTATATGTTAGTTGCTTTACTGTCAGTTCTGTTTGTTTCCATGCGCCGCTGTTCGGCAAACAAAGAAAAAGTTTCCGTGAAAAGGGAGAAGCTCAGATTCTTCCATTCGACTGCGAGAATAATAGTTCTTATGTCGGATTTTTTGTTACAGAAATATTAGATAACAATCATTTTCTTCAACATTACGGCTTAAGTATATATGCATAATGAAATATGTTTACTCATACAAACACAAATATTGTATTATGATATATAGGAACTTTTGTATCTAGCGCCCTCTTCATACACAAATAATTACACGAAGATTTTACTTATTTGAAAATTGTACAATTGTAGAATTGTAAATTTACTAATTACAAAAATAAGTACATAATTCATTATTAAAAAAAATATTATTAAAAAATAGTTTGAATTATTAAAAAATAAAAATGTAGAAAAAACTTGTTATTAAATAAATAAATTATAACATTAAACGTTATGTTCAATATTTATTGATTATTGTTCAAAATGTTTTATGTATAGATAATTATAAAGTGAAACTCGAATAAGAAGATTTACTCAGGAACAAATCAAAAACAGAATTGTATACAGAGTTGGTAACAATATTTTTGAAAGTGCAAAGTTCAACGTAAGAAGGCGTGTTTCGCATAAAAAAAAGTATTACTGACAATGAGTTCTACTCTATAAATCAAACTTATCCTTTATTTTTAAAATAATCATATAAAAAAATGATAGTATCTCTCATTAACCCAATGAGATACCGAAACATTTTTAAATTAATTTTTATAATTAAATCTTATAATTAAATCGCTTGTAAAATATAATATTTTAAGGCTGACGATCTAGTCTATCGCCATGCGAAGTTTCATTAAAATACCAGAAGAGTAAATCTGAGGTTCTCCTTGTAAGTAAATATTTCGCGCGCATCCGATTTTTTAAATTTTAATTAATTTTTGTAATTGAATCGTTGGTCATAGGCCTTTAATATTTTAAGGTGTTCGGTTTGACTATCAACTCTATCGCCATGCAAAAATCCAAAAGAATTAATCTGAGGTTCTCCTTGTGAGTAACTATTTTTTGTACTTATCTCGCTGTATATTTTAGATAAATGATGAAAAATCTGGTTCTCGATATGTATAAATGATTTTTT